GTGGCCCCACAGGGAGCTCCACCTAAGGTCCCAGTGGCGCAGTCTGCATGGCGGCGCCGCCCGATTTTGGTACACCCCTCACACGTTTCGTGGCCTCATAGTGAGCGTCACCGAAAGCCCCAGTGGCAGCGCCGGCATGGCGTCCCCGCCACATTTCGGCACATCCCTCACACGTTGTGTGGCCCAATCAAGTGGGCTCTACATCAGGCCACAGTAGCAATGCCTGCATGGCGGCCCCGCCCCTTTTCGGCACACTCTTCACGAGCTTCGTGGCCCCAAAAGGAGGTCAACCGAAGGCGATACTGACAACGACGGCATTCACAACTGCATATGGTTAGGTCCTTCGCCAGGCTAATTCAAAGGCTCCCATGTGGGTCTCGGCCCAGTCCGCCAGCCGTGCGGAACAAGTGTTCTCCATCGGTCCCCCTACCGAGATGGCCCTAAGATGACTTCGAGACGGCCGAGATGGCCTCCAAGGCGGTCCAGATGGGCTCAACATGGCCTCCAAGACTGTACCAAGATGCCACCAAGATGGCCAAGATTATCCCAAGTCGGCCCAAGATGCCCCCCAGACGACCCAAGCGCCCCAGGAAGACTTGTCCAATAGGACCTTCAGGTGACCAAGCATTGATTTTCCTCAGGTGTTCCTATGATCGTAGTGTTTTCGCTTTTTCGGTCCGACGCTCCAATACGGCTCCATCGGCCCCCAAGATCGCCTCAAGCCGGCCCAAAAGTCCCCCCTGCAAGACAGCCCGAGAGGACTCAAAGCCGGCCCAAGAAGCCGCCTATAGCGCCCAAAGAGCGCCACGACTGCCCAGAGAAGGCCCCAAGACGGCCTCCGAAGGCCAACCGGTCCTTCAAAGGCCTTCTGAAGCCCCCAAGAGGCGCTTCAGAGGCCCCAGGAGGCCCCCAAGAGGCCCTTGAGAGGCCCCCCCAAAACCTCCCAGGATCCCCCAGGGAGGCCACAAGAGAGTCAAGTGGTTCCTTTTCTTCCTCCTTCTCCTCCTTCTCCTCCTGCTCCTCCTTCCTCTTCCTCTCCGCGTGGACGTTTCCGAAAGGCACGGGGCGGCGGTGATTCGCCGTAGGCGTCTTCGATCCGCCGCCCCCTGTTGCTTGCAAGAGGGGTTGTTGGCGCGCCAGACGCTTACCATGTGAGCACTTCCAAAAGGTTCGCAGTGGCCAGCTGTGACTCTTCGCAGACGTCTTCGGTACAATTGACATGATGCGCTCGGGGGAGTCACTTCACCAAAGAACAGACTGCACATCATATTTGGGGCCGGCTGATGGCGCGTGTCTGTCCGGCAACGTCCGTATGCCACAAACACACTTCTACATCGGCGGCCGCTCGCCGATGCTCTTAAGACAGAAGCGATGGATATGCTTAGATCACACGAAACCAATTTGGTGTTCGGCCCCAGGGTCCCTGGTAGATTATCTGCAATACACCATGCAGAGAACTCGAAGGGACTTTAGGCCACTCCACTTGATTAGTGCCTACGGCACTTAGTGCATACGGCACGTTGGCGGATACATGCTAGGGGCGAGGATGTCCTGCCCTGGGCACGTTGGCACGTTGAAGACTGCACGGGCAGCATGCCCTGCCCTGGTGCAGAGGAGCACATGCTTGCGGAAGTTGTATGAACAGTTGGCGAGCAAATGCGGAAGGCTCGGGAAAATGCTGGTTCAGCCTCGGAACGCTATCGTTAGTTTTAAGAGAAGCGTGGGCACGCTGCATTTTCTGCGATTGTGTTTGAAACAGCTGCCGCAGTTCGGAGGCACCGTAGCGAACAACACAGGAGGACTGATTTGTCCGCGTGCTCCCTGTGAGAGCATTGGCGCGACGGCAGGGCATGCTGCATTGCTCGCGCCGCGAGGTCCACGAACAACAACACCCTCCTCGCTGGTGGGAATGCTGCCAGTCAGTGGCGCGAAGGGGGCATTGGGCGGCAGGGGAGTGATTAGTTCAGCGCGCTCCAGACCGGTCGACGCCTTTTCCTCCCTCAGCCAGGCCTAGGACGCGGATAAACAGTTCCAAAGCGTTCAGCATCATCAGCGCTCTTAGAGCGTTCTGAAACGCTCTGGAATGGCCGCAGGACCCGATACATCATTTTGACCCGCTGGTTCTCGGAGATTCCGAGTTATCGCTGCCGGGTTTTATATCTTTTTTGCTGCCGTCTTAAACTCGCCGGTTTGAACACCTTCTTTCCTTGCATCGGCACCTGGGACAGCTGGGGCGGATTTTTTCGAAAGGGAGGGCCAGTGCTGTCATGACGGTATGCTCTGCACGAGATAGACGATATTTGATGACAGAATCTACACGGACGCATGACATTTGTTTTTATGTGTGATTTTGGTGAAGCGGTGAGGTGGTGTGTGAGAACACGTTATCCAAACACGCTGGCCAAGGAGCTCTTACCTTTTTCTTTCGTTTTGTCTTTGCACATCCACAACCAAAGGGGTTCTGGTTCCGCTCCTAGTTGGGACCGCAGTGTGTCCCCGCGGGACACAAGCTGCCCTTTACCCGCATGGCCGTGACGCACGTCGGTTGCGCGCCCCAGCGGGTGTCTGAGAGGCTGCGGCTTGACGTTTCCCCCAAAAACGGTGCTTCTTAGGGCTTCGGGGCGCCCCCCGAGACAGCCCAGGAGTGCTCCACGGCCGTCCAAGCCGGCCTCCCGACGGGTCTGGAAGCCCTCGGGAGCATGCGAGGTCGCCCCGAGAGGCCTCTTCCCGCTCTGCATGGCGGGCAGGTTCTTCACCTCTCCTGTCTCGTCTTTCACCGCCGAGGCGATTGCTCTCGAGGATGCTTTGAACTCCCTTGCGCGGACTTGTGCACGCACCCAGCGTAACATGACGTTTTCCCTAAGCTCGCTGGTTTGCTCTCTATCCCCCACCCCGTGCGCTGTCAGCAGCTTGCGGCTAGCCCGGCTGTGCTCCACGCCTCGGGGGAAGCGAGTCTCCCAAGAGCCCCGGGGAAGCCGCCGAGAGCCCGAAATCATCGACGCACCAGCTGGGAATCAGGGCTTCTCTCTGTTGTCTCGCAGTTCCGCCTCAGGCACGCTTCCGAGGCTTGCGCATGCTCCCCGAGAGAGTTCCAAGAGGCCCCCCGAGAGGCTTCCCGAGCGGCGCAAGGTGGCCCCAAGAGGCCACAGGAGGTTCCCATGGCGCCCGAAGGGGCACCTCCGATGCCCCCAAAACGCTCCGAGCAGGCCCCGACGAGCTTCCAGGAGCCGCCCCAGAAGTACCCAGCGCCGAAGAGGGCCCCGAGAGACCTTCAAGAGCTCCCACGGGGTCTCCAGGAGAGCTCCAAGATCTCCCAAGAGGCGTCCCTGGCGGCTCTTGGGGGCATGCGCAAGCCTCGGAAGCGCATCGGTGGCGGAAATGTCAGAACGCAGACATCATAATTTTCCGTTCAGTTTTGGAATGAGTTTGGCCTCTTGAGGGTTCTCCGGAGCTCTTGGGGGCCTCTTGGAGGCCTTTTGGGGCGATCTTGGGTGCCCTTGGGGGCCTCCAGGGCCAATTTGAAATAAAAAGGGAGTTTCTTCAACTCCTTTTTTTATAGCTCGCCCTCCCCCCCCCTCCGTTCCCTCCTGGCCCAGGCTTTGGCGTGCCCCAGAGTGCGTTTCCGTTTTCCCCCCTCGCTGTCCGTTCTCCCTGATCTCTCGTTCCTGCTTCTGGTTCTCTTCCGTCTCCCGTTCCACATCCTTCTCGTTCTTCTCCTCCCTCCTCGTCGCTGCGTCACTTTCCCGACTCTCCTTCACGCCTTCCTCTTTCCGCCTTCATGCAGCATTTCCACCTCCCCACTCTTTCATCCTCATCTCTCTTTCACTCCTTCCTCCCTCCGCCTCCTTCACCCAGCATCCTGCTCCACTATGTGGTGGAGGCCAAGCTTGAAGAACAGAGGGAATTTCCTCACATCTTTGATTTCAGGGCCTACCCCCCTCCGTTTTTCCCTGTCCCAGGCTTTGGCGTGCCCCTGAGTGCGTCTTTGGTTTCCCCATCCCTCGCTGTCCGTTCTCCTTGATCTCTCTTTTCTGCTCTTGGTTCTTCATCTCCCGTTCCACATCCTTTTCATTTCTTTCCTCCCTCCTCCCCGCTGCCTCATTTTCCCTTCTCCCTCTTCCTCGTCTTCTTCATTCGTTTTCGTCTCCCCCACCACTCGCTGTTCGTTCTCCCTGATCTCTTCCTTGCTCGTGGTTCTCCTGCGTCTCCCGTTCCACGTCCTTCTTCCTTTCCGCCTCCCTCCCCGCTGCGTCCTTTTCCTCGTCCCTCCTCCTCGTTTCTCCTTTCACGCCTGGCTTCTCAGTGATTTTGGCCTCTCGAGGGCTTCCCCAGAGCTCTGAGGGCACTCCTGGAGGCCTCTTAGGCCGATCTTTGGTGCCTTTGGGGGCTGGGCCCCCCAGAACCAACTTGAAAAAAATGGCATTACATCATTTTTTTTTCACCGTTCCCTCCTGGCCAGGCTTTGGCGTGCCCCAGAGTGCGTTTCCGTTTTCCCCCCTCGCTGTCCGTTCTCCCTGATCTCTCGTTCCTGCTTCTGGTTCTCCTCCGTCTCCCGTTCCACATCCTTCTCGTTCTCCTCCTCTTTCCTCCTCCCCGCTGCGTCATTTTCCCTCCTCCCTCCTCGTCTCTCCTTCACGCCTTCTTCTCTCCGCCTCCCTCATGCTTTTTATCTGATCTCCACCGCTCCAAGACGGCCGAAGAGGTCCCCAAGGCATCACCAAGACAGCCCAAGAGGTCCCCGCGACGGCCCGAAAACGACCCAATAGAGCGCCAAGACGGCCCAAGAGGCCGCCAAGACGGCCCACAAGGCCTTCAAGACGGCCCCAAGACAGGGGCAAGAGCGGGGATCCAAACCAACACTTCGAGCCCAGACGCCAAGAGCCCCAGGGAGGCCCCCGAGGCGCCCTCTGAAAGTCCCGAGAGGCCACCAGGAGACCCCCAACAAAAATCGGAGAGGCCCCGCCGACCAGAAACCTCCGCGAGACCTCCAAGAACGTCCCCCAAAGGCATCCAAAGAGACTCCAGCATGGTCTTGCCTAGGGGCTCTCGGGCATCCCCCCTAGGCTGCCCTGGGTCCTCCTCGTGGCTGCCCTGCGCGACTTCCTGGAGTCTTATTCAGCGACTGCTGAAGCTTCCATCAGGAAGTCTGCTCCCATATGGTTACCCTTCCGGATTGATACCCATCCTCATCCGTTCCTGTGAGGTTGGTCCGGGCTGCGCTAGAACCTAAGCGCGCGCGCGCGCGCGCGTAGTTCTAGTACTTATATGTGTACGTTGTCGTTGACTTCTCGTTTGTTCGTTGTGCACAGTGTTTGGTGATTGCTGAGACTTGTCCTTTGCTGTCACTGTCTTGTAGTGATTGCGCGGGCGCGCGCGTACGTTTTTGCGTCTGGGTCTGCGTCTGCGTCCGTGCATGTCTCTGTCTTGTAGTCTGTCAGTCTGTCAGTCTGTCAGTCTGTCAGTCTGTCGTATGGTGCACGGGTGCGCGTGCCCATACGACCGTGCGATTTCGGATTTCGGGTTGCTGCGGCAATGCGAGGTGCGTTTCTCTCGTTGCGTGGGACACGCTCAGGCCTATTGGAGATACCTTCAAAGGTACTCCAGATTTCGTAATAAAGGGAGGGTGGTCTCATTCCGGGGGGGGGTCTCTTCCAGGCTATCTTGGAGGGCCTGGGGGGTCTGGGGACGAGGTTTTGGAGGGTTCTCCCACGGGGGAGGTCTGAAATGGCTTGTCTTGGAGGGTCCAGACCCCCTCCCTTTTATTACGAAATCTGGAGTGTCCGTGCTGCTTGCCCGGAATTCCCGACGGCTTGTTCCTCCTGGGTCCCACGGGCCCCGAAGGTCTCGACCCCTTCGCACGGGGCAGCGCTTCGCTCCAGATCCGTCTCCGACCGTTGCCCCGGGGCCCGATGACGGCGGGAGAGTACCGAGATGGAGCACACCAATCCGCCCGAAGTCGGGGCACGGCAGGCTCGCGCCGCGCTGACGCGGCGGAGGCCCCGGTGGGGGCGTTCAGCGTTGAAACGCTGCCAGAGGACTGGAGTCGGCCAGTGAAGGATCAGTGCTGTCGGGAAGCCGCGATCCTTCCAGGTTGACGGCTCCACGCATTGTTAGAAGACCACCACCTGCTGTCCTCGTCAAGACTGCCTCAAAAGCGCGTGGCGCAATCGACTAGTATATATATATATATATATATATTTATATACACACATTTGATGCTCTGGGTAGGGGCGGCTTTGCGTGCAAAGTACCCGTTGGCGCCCACTCTCCGATGCCAGTCCTCCTGGAGCTGCCGAGTCGCGCCGGCCCGGACCGCGTTCCAGTCTTCGGCGGCGAGCGACGGGTGGAAATGAGAAGGAGAAGGCCTTCTCAGAAGGCGGCGGGACTTCTCAGAAGCCCTCGCGCCTTCTGAGAAGCTTTTTTGGTCTTCGGGGGGGCTTAGAAAACCTTTCTGAAGGCCGGGGGACTTCCGCACCTTCTGAGAAGGCCTTCTCCTTCTCGCTTCCCCACCCTCGGTCGCCGCCGAAGTCTGCTTCCACACTCAGGCGATCGCAAACATGGATCAAGGGGGCGTGGATCAGCGAAGGGTCCCGTTTCCATGGGAAGTCGTGGATTCCCGCCGCCGAACGAGGCGGCACCGGCCGCATTTTGGGGAGGGCACCTCCCCCGGCGACCGCGCGCCAAATCCATGGATTGCTAATCCATGTCTGCGCGCCCCCGACACACGGAGGGGGCCGACCTCGAGGGGGCGAGGCGAGGCGACGTCGAAGGGGCGCGTCGGCTTTCTTGGAGGCCCGTGCTGTCGAGGGTGGTGGGTCATCGCGTTCGGCAGCAGCTCCCGGGGGCCTCGCGTGGCCTCGCGATGCCGTCCTCCTGTTTGAGCGCAAGTCGCGTGCGCCAGCGTCTGGGCATCGGGGGGGAGGCGCAGGTTCGGTGTCGAGATCCGCGCCGCTGCAGCGTCGGTGTTTAGCGTCGATGCCGCGTCGGTCCGCAGGAGCCGGCAGGATGACACGGGAGGCTCCCACGATCGGTGGGTCCAAGGATGGGGTCCTGAGGAATGGGGTCCTAAGGGTAGGAAGGGATCCAAGGGTGATCTTACGTTGTTTAAGGAACCTCGTCCTTGGGGCCCCACCTCTCAGCACCCCATCTTTGATCGGAGGTTGATAGACCGCCTACCCTGACACGTCGATGAATGAATTGGCCGTTTTCGGTTCGCAAGAGGTCGTCGCGGCCGTTATTTTTGCGGGTCCAGGTCCGTCGGTTTCGATCCTAGGCCGTTTTCACTAAAGGGAGGTTTACTACAGGGAGGTTTGTCCACCGCCGATTTGAACCACGGACACGAGTTGCCACAGAACTCGCGACGTGAGCTTATCCGTGCCAGTGCCAGCGAGCAGAGGGGCCGCGCTGCCGGGCAGCCTCCTGCCGCTTTGAAGCACGTCCCTGTCCCTCTGCTTGGCATCGCCTCACCTCGATGCAGACCTGAAGGGTATCCCTCAGCTC